AAAAAAAAAAAAAAAAAAAAGTTAAAGAGGGCTGGGAATGCAGCTCCGTGTGAAGCCATGTTCTCAATCCAAAGTACCAGGGAGGAAAAAAAATCCGGCCCACTCTGGAGGAGGGAGGGAGGGAAAGGGAGCTTCTAGGTTGCCCTCCGAGTCCTTCTGGGTCAGCCTCTGCCCCTGAGCTCCAGTCCAGGTCAGAGCTCATGTCCCTAAGTTGAAGCCCAAGGAGGAACCAGCCCTACCCTCCAGGAACGAGGACACACTGTGGGGGCCCAGGCTCATCCTGGCCTGGGGAGCCCGTGGCTCAATGCCTTCTCCGTACTTGCCTTTGTCGTTGTGGAAGGAGAAGCTGTGATCCAGGCAGACCCTGCCGCAGAGTGGCTCCTAGGGACACCCACCAGGGCAGTGGCCTGGGGTCCCTAAGCCTGTTGGTCCGTTCCAGAAGGTGGGTTTGTGTGTCCTTTGGGCTCACGCAGCAAAGACAGCCAGGGTGATGTCCCTGCAGGGGACAGGGCCAGGCCAAGTCACCCATGGCCACGGAGCTTGGTGGCGGTGCTCAGCCATGGCACCACGTCCTCATGGTCCCCAGCCCCATCAGGTTCCCAAGCTCCTCTGCCTGTGCTGGTGGAATCCTGGGTCTGCAGTGGGGGTTGCAGAAGCAGCCGGACTGAGGGTGGTGTCCCCTGCCAGAACCTAAACCTTAAACCCTAGCCTGAACTCCAACTCCACCCCTACCCCGACCTCAGCCCCAAACTAACCCCAACCAATCCCCAAGTCCAACCTAACCCCAACCCCACTCTAATCTTAGACCCGACTCCAACCCCCAACTCCAACCCCTGCCCTTCACTGTGCTCCATGTGCCCCAGGAGCCCAGCTCTGATCCCAGGCGGGCTGGTGGCAGGCTGAGGTGTCCGGCTGAGGTGCAGTCACCCTCCAGGGAGGGGACCAGTAGTCTTGCCTGGCTGCATGGCCCCTAGGCAGCATAGTTCAGAGACTGGCCACCCGGCTTCCCTTGTTTCGAGCTCAGCCAGCTGCGTGGCCCTTCTGTTTAGTCTCCAGGCCAGGCTTAAGGCTGGGTAAGGATGCCAGCGGCCTGGACCCCTTCAGCCTTGCAGGTTTGTCTCCAGCGTATGCCCTCTCTGACTGGGAAGGAGGAAGGAGCATTCCAAGGCCAGGCCAAAGTCCTCTCCTACAGCCATTATTTAACAAACACTCACAGAGCTGGGCCGGCTTTCCCATATTCCATGTGGTTTGATTCCCTTAAGCATTGTAAACTGAGGCCAGAGGTCTGAAAACTGTTGGGGACCACACAGCCAGGGTGCTTGTAGCCAGGCCAGTGACCCCAGTTTAAAAATCCCCAGATGTCAGCGTCACTGCGCCCACCCCACCTCCCTACCATCCCCACTGTGGGCAACTTGCCTTTTGCCAAAGCCTGACCTGGCCCTGGCCCTGGCCCCTTGCTGCCTCCTGTTGTGGCCCAGCCTGGTGGAGGGTGGACCAGGCTGGATTGATGGGGGAAGATGACTTGGAGGCCACCAGGGCAGTGCAGAGAGACAATTGAGTTACAGCTGGCTCTGGGCTGGAGCTGTGGGAGGAGCTGGCACTGGAGAGTCAGGAACAAGGGGCACATGGACCTTGAGTAGGGCCTGCCGTCCTTGCCCTTCCTGCCCTGTCCCCTTCCCACAGAGACAGGCTGGTCCCCCAGGGCTTGTCCCAGAGAGGAAGGAAGCCCTTCCCACGGTTGGGGTGCGGTGTGCACTGGGAGCTGGCTCCCTTTGTGAGCTTGCACCCAGTGACTATCCCCACCCAGGCTGTGGTGCGGGCTTCCTGGGTGAGCCTGGCAAGAGCTGTGCCCCACCCCCGTATCTCTTCTTGCCTGTTCCTTCTAGGCTCCTAGGCCTCCTGTGAAACTCTGGGGGAGGCCACTGTGGCTCTGAAGCCCTTGCGTCCTGCGTGGCTGTAGACTCAGCTCCAGGGGGTCCTGAGCAGCCCCAGATGATGCCCAGTTCCAGTCCTGCAGGTGGAGGTGCATGTATAGGCATCCAGCCTGAGGTGGGAGGGTGGTCACATAGATTTCTGAGATGCATGGGGGCCTTTTTCTAATTGTTTTGCCTGTTAGCAGGTGGCTTCCTCTTTTCTTTTTTAATCTATTAAAAAATATATGTATTTTTTTCTCTAGGAATTGAAGCCAGAGCCTTTGCTCTGGGCTACATTCTCATGCCTTATTTTATTTTTTATTTTGAAACAGGGTCTAAGTGGCTGAATTGCACAGGTGAGATTTGAACTTTTGACCCTCTTACCTCCAAAGTGCTGGGAGGACAGGCTGCAAAGTCCTGTGGGGCGTGGTTCCCTCTTCCTTGGGCTTCTCTGGAGCATGGCTGTGTCCTCTTGTTCCAGACATGATTTTCTTGTTCTTTACCTACACATGCTTGGATTTCTAAATCTTTCTACTCTGCATTTCATCTCACTGTGAATCAGACTGAAGGCAACAGAGACTCTTTGAGCCACAGCTGAATTTTCTGTGGTTTTGAAATTTCCGCCTTGTGAACTCAGCATTGTTAATTTTGGCTTCTGTGAAGTCTTGGGATGGAACACAGCCCATCCTGGTTCTTGCCCTGGGGTGACAAGGGTGACTGTCAAGAGACCTTGGGTGACATCGGAACTGGCCTGTGTCCTGCCTTCTGAGCAAGGATGCAGGGCAGGTCCTGTGGTGGGGGGACAGACCTCAGGCTCCAGCCACACACTGGCAAGGGAGGCGCAGCAGTCAGACAAGGCCAAAGCTCAGGGTGAGGTATCAGGGCAGGAAGAAGGTGGGGTGCCGTACCCCATACTGGCTGCCCCTGTGTCCACAGAGCATGGTCCCTGGCCCTGGGCCCTGCACTCTGTGCCTGTCTTGGGCTCCATCCCAGGGTGAGGTCCCATTAGCTCTGAAGGGGACCAGGCAGGGCCTCTGGAGGACAGAGCAGACAGCTGCTGCCCCTCAGGTTGTGTCCAAAGCTTGTGTCCCAAACCCCCTTGCTCAGCTTCCACCCTGGCCTTCCTTGCAAGCCTCTGGACTGCATCTGCAGGCCCTCCTCGCCCAGGAGGGAGCAGGCAAGACTCCTGCAACAAGGGAGCACTCTGGAGGGAGGGAAGCATGTGTGTACATGTGTGCATAAGTGTACGTGTGTGTGTGCGCACATGCGCAGACTCCACCCTGACATCCTGGGACGCAGGTGCAGCTCCAGTGTTTCTTACACACCTCCTTCCTGGCTCTGAGGACAACACACGCTTGCTGTGCTCACTGAAGGTTTGACGCGAGCAGTGATGCATGTCCCCCAGTGCAGAGCACTGTGCAGTAGTTTTACCACCCCGAGCTCCAATCCTGCCTGTTCATCTTCCCCCGCTTTTTATGAAATACATTTTATTTCATTTTATCCCATTCCTTCTTTCAGGCCCCTCTTCACTCCCTTTGTACAGAAGCTTTGTTTCCACTTTTCCCTTCCGTTTTCCCTTTTTTCCTGTCCCTCCCTCCCTCCCCCTACCTTGTTCCCCTTCCCATGGGAACCCTTCCTTCCCATTTTCCCAGTATTCACTGTACATTTCAGTCCTTCTTTCCACTTTTGGCTTCTCACATCGGAGAAACAGTGTCGTATTTAAACGTGTGTATCCAATTTATTTCATTTCAGAGGGTGGTCTCAAGATGCATCCATTTGGCTAGAAATGTTTGAAGCTCATCCTTCTTTATGGCAAAGTAGTACTCTATTATATATTTTTAAAAACCCACATCTTTTTTTTTTTTTTTTTTTTTTTGTACCAGGGATTGAACGCGGGACCATGCACTTGCAAGGCAGGTGTTTTGCCATTGAACTAAATCCCTGCCCCCAAACCACATCTTCTTTATCCTCTGATCTGTTGATACCTCTGCTTTCTGACCCTGACAGCCACTGATTTTTTCTTTTCAGTACCAGGGATTGAACGTGGGACCATATGTTTGACAGGCACATCCCTGACCTATCCACTGGCCTTTTTATTGCCTTCTTATATTTCATATTTCAGGACGCTATTTTAAGTGGTATTGTTTTAAAATTCAATTTGTTTGTTTCTTGCTACAATGGTCATCCTTATTTTTCTGTTGCTCTTATAACTCATAGCCTCAGTAAACTCGGGCTTTAACTGTGAGTCCATTCTGGCCGATTCTTTTGGATTTTCACCAGAGCTAATCACTATGTGACTCTGAAGCGGTGGCTGGCTGGTGTGGGGGGAGACCAGGAAGGCAGTGGGAGAAACTGTGCGCAGCCAGTCTTCGTGTCCTGGTCTTGGGTGGGTCTGGCCAGGGGCCAGGGCCAGGACTCTTCTGAGAGCACAAGATGTCGTTTTGCTCCTCCTGTCTGTGTGAGTGTCCAGGATGTGGTGTCTTCCTTGGACCCTGTGTCTTGTCTTCCTCTGGAGGACAGCATCAGGGCCACGCTCCTCTCCTGCCTCTTCTTCCCACCTGTATGAGAAGGAGAGTGGCAGAGCAGGGCACTTTCCTAGGTGTCCGTGTTCCTGGGCTGACTTCACAGCCCAGTTTCCCTCTGTCTCCAGGAGGGGAGAATCCAAGGGCTACAGCTCTCTGTGAGCCCTGCTCTGGCCTCCAGGTTTCCGTGGACCAATCCAGGATGTCCTGTTCTCCTGAGGAGCTGACCTCAGAGCTGAGGTTGGGGTAGGGTCCTCCCGTCTTGGGGTAGGCAGTGGCTGTGACAGGGCTGGCAGCAGGAGCTCTGCAGTGCAGACTAGAGGAAGGGAGAGGAGAACGCAGAGCCGCCTGTCCTCCGTGGGGCTCAGGCGGTGCCTGTGTGCTGGGCAGACCTAACGGGGCGGCTTCCTCTTTCACTTGCTCCTGGGCCAAGTGCCTGCATTTATTGTGGTGTCATAGCCGCTCTGCTATCACTGGGACTCAGTACCAGAGAACCCACAACTGAAAGGAGGGGGTGTTTATTTAGCTCCTGGTTTCAGTCTCTGGTTGGCCTGCTCCAAGGCAGAAACAGCACGGCAAAGGGCCTGGCTGAGGAGAGGATACGCAGCCTGTGGCAGCCAGGAGGCAGAGGGAGAAGGGAAGCTCAGGGCCCAGAATCACCCTTCCTCTCTCCCCAGAGTGACTGCCGCTGACAGCACAGTCATCTGCAGTGTATCGATGGGTGAGGCCTCGGTGAGCACAGCGCCCTGAGATTCCATCCCTTTCACACACCTCGGGGGGACACTTCAGATCTACCCATAGCCTCAAATAGGAGGCAGTGGGAAACAAATGGTTCTGGAGCCAGCAAGACCGGTTCCCAGCTCCAGCATGAACTTTTTATGGACTGAACAAATCCCTGGCACCCTCACCTGCCTTCTCTGGCTCCATGCCTGGCTCTTCCCGACCTCCACATGATGCCTCTCAGGTGCCTTTCCCTTTCTTTGCAGTGTTGGGTATAGAACCCAGGGTTCCATGTGTGCCGGGCATGACTTCTACCCCTTAGCTGCACCCCCAGCCCCAAAAGACATCTTTCTGTTCTTATCATTTAGCTATGTGGCCCAGGCCTGCCTTGAGTTCACAGCCCTCCTGCCTCAGCCTCCTGAGTGCTGGGATTCTAGGTATGCACTACTGTGCCATGTCATAACATTTTCCAGTAGCAGAAATCCTTTTAATATAATCAAAATGATAGGGTTGTCATATGTGTGTTCCACCAAGGAGGCTTAGACATACTCTCCTTGTGTGTGTGTGTGTGTGTGTGTGTGTGTGTGTGTGTGTGTGTGTGCATGAATGCTGGGGAAGAATTTCAAGGGCTTTCTCCCTCCCTGCCTGTCTCCCTTCGGTACTGGGGATTAAATCCAGGACCTCCTGATTCTAGGCCAGCTCTCACTATAGTGCTGAGCTACATCTCCAGCCCTTTCTATTTTTCATTTTGAGCTGAGACCTCACTAAATAGCGCTGGCTGGCCTTGAACTTGTGACTCCTCTGCTTCAGCCTCTCCAGTGGCTGGGGTGACGGATGGGTATTACTGTGCCTTCATTTCTTTGTTGATGTTATTAACTCATCTAAGTAGAGGTTATTTCTTCTAAACAACCACATTAACTCTTAGTGCTCTTATGCCTTTTCCTGGGAACAGCAGCTTCCTGAGGGGATTTGAGTGGGGGGAGGAGCTGCGTGTGGCCCCCGTGCTCCTTCTGCTCTGTGGCCAGGGCCTTGCCACTGCCAGGGCCTCATTTTCCTCACTCTCTGCCCTGCTCTTTGGTGCCTTAAAAGGTGTTTAAAAGACTTTATTATTACTATTTTTTGGTATTTCGGATAGAACCTCAGTCCTTGTGCTTGCAAGGCAGGCGGTGGCACCACTGAGCTAAATCCCCAGACATTTTATCTTTTGTTTGTTTGTTTGTTTGTTTGTTTTGAGACAGGGTCTCACTATGTAGTTGAGACTGACCTGGAACTCATTAGGTAGCCCAGGCTGGTTTCAAACTCACAGTAATCCTCCTGCCTCAGCTTCCAGAGTGCTGTTTTTGTTTTTTGTTTTTTAAAATAGAAACAAAGTCCCTTTTCTAGTCAATTTCCAGAAGTTCTTTAAAATCCTAGTCCTTGCAAATTCTTTTTCTCTTTTCACCCTATTTATAGTGAAGCAGATGTTGGTGCCTGTAGCCCCAGCTACTCAGGAGGCTGAGGGAGGAGATTCACTTGAGCCCAGGGTGAGACTTTGTCTACCCCACAGCAGGAGTTCTCATTTATGTGTGGGGTTGAGGTGTGGTTCACTTGGTCTCTGCTGCCTTCTGGGAGCAGATGTGGTGCTTCTCCCAAGCAGCACTGTCCTTGGGCTTGCTGCTCTCCTCCAGCGGCCCATTTTGTTTTAATTGCTTCACCAAGCACTGTCTTAATCACTAGGTGTGATGATGAACATTGATAATGTGTATTGATTTCTGGTGGAATAATACTTTCACCTTGTTTCTCTCTCTTCTAAAAAGTATCTTAGTTACACTTGGCCCTTAGCACTTAAAAATTGTTTTTCATTGAGAGAGGGTCTTCCTATGTAGTTCAGGCTGGCCTTACACTATGTAGTCTAGGCTGGCCTTGAATTTGGAATGATATTCCTGCCTTAGCCTCCCAGTCCTGGGATTATAAGTGGGCGTGCCATGCCTGGTTGGCCCTTAGCGCTTTTATATAAATTTTAGATTTTTTTTCTTTTTGGTACCAGGGATTGAACACAGGTCCTTGTGCTTGCAAGGCAGGCGGTGGAACCACTTAGCTAAATCTCTGGCCCCTAAATTTTAGAATTTGATGAG